GTTCTTTAACGCTTTCAAACTTCTTCCATCGTAAAAGTATAAGTTATTTTCTTAAAATACTAAGCAAAATAGTTTATTACCATTAAGATGCACAATATATTTGCTTTTGTTTACCAAAAAAGTAGTAATCCCATTCATTTTGTTTAGTTTCAACGTTTGTACTTCCATTCAGTCGAATTTACTCCATTGTAAAATCTATATTCTTTATATGAAGAACCAAGCAAAATAAACATCTCCTTTTGGGGTAAAAGATATTATTATTTTCGTTTACCGAAAAAAGTATTTCTCTCTTTACTTTGTTTGGTTTCAAAATTGATCTTTTAACTCGTTCAAACTTCTTCCATTGTAAAAGTATTTTTTTTCACCAACTATGAAGCAAAATAGATATAGTATCCACAATTACGGCCTTAAACCTCAAAAGCCACCTCTTTTGTTGGCTAAAAACCTCCAACCTTTAGTATGTTCTTCTCTGAAATCTAGGCTAAAAAACCTTTTTATCTTGAAAGCTTTTCCTTTTTTATATTTTTCTATGGTTTTTTTTATGGCTTTGTGCACTATGGTTCCCTGAAAAGGGATGTGAGTTTTTTTTTTCTTATTTAGGTAGGTTTAGGGTAATAAACTCATAGGTATTTTTTTGAATTTTTGGTTGTGGAGTGGCAAAAGTGGATGGTTGAGCAATATGTTTGGATGGAAGTGTTTTAGCAGATGGTGTAGGCTTGGGGGTTTTGATGGTAGTTGTTGACGTGATTGTGGAGGTTGGCTTGTTGGTGGGTCGGCTATAGTGCAAATAATGATGCTGGTTGATTGGGGATTTTGGTAAAGGCAGTCATAGTTTAGCAATGGGTTAGGTTTTTTTTTTTTTTTTTTTTTGGGTGGGTGAGAGTGGTCACATTTTGACTATTTAGATGGTGGATGAAAGTGATGAAGGCAAGAGATTGGGGGGTCTTTGGCAATGGTTGGTGATTAGTTTTTTTAGCTAGTGAAATAGGGTTATGGTAGTAGTTGTGGTCGTGGGGATTTTACAGAGTCTTAGTTCTTAACAATGTTGTATTGGTAATGGCAAAGTGTTTTGTTCAAGAAATTGGCCCCCTTATTGGTTCGTCTCGGTGTGAATTCCCTTCCCTTCTATCTTCTCAAAGCCTCCATTTTGTAGAGTTCATCCCCCATTCAAATACCAAATTTTTTAAGATCAAGAAAGACTTGAAGATTTGGCTGGTGGTTAGCAACTTGATTTTAGGGATTGTAGTCGTTAGGTCAAAATTTCATAGTGTTCTAAGTTGGGGTTGTTTGCATAGATCGATCTATGTTTGGTTTGTTGAGTTAGGTATTAATTCTAGTTATAATGAGGTTATTTCCTTTTTTCGTGGCTCTCTTCTTGATAGGCATCATAAGCTCGACCAAATAAAAAGAGCTTTTACTTGGCGCATCAAAATATTATTGTCGAGCTATCCAATAAGAGTAAAGATTTGAAATTACAACATTGAAAGTTAGCTAAAAGTAAAGGCTGAAGGTGTCTTTGACATTTATACTTCGACTTTCAAGTCAGTGCTCAAAATAAAGAGGCAAAAAAAAAAAGAAATTAGAAAGAGAAAAAGGTGAATTGCTTATTCATACCAAAAATATCAGAGGTTATTTATATTTTAAAGGATGAAGTTGATGGATCTAAATGACTCAAATTTTAGAAATCGGGTTTAAAGTTGACAAGATCGGCCCAATTTGATATGGCAAGAGGAAATCTAATTGAAGAAGGATAAATCAATATTTCATTACATTTAGGTGAAAAGTTGAGTTGGCCAACTTAATATGAATCCCTATCTTTTAGATTAGTTTGCTACGGTTTGCTGTGTCAACTTGGTTTGGAATGACTAAAATAATTTCCCTTTCTTTATTGATAAATCACCCTCTAAAAAAATTCTATTATACTTTTATGATTATCAAATACCTTTAACAATAATGACTATAAATGAAATACTTCTTATTTTTGCGAGGTATGATTCACAATGCCAAGAGGTAACGATCTGGGTAAAGGATTATGCTGATTTAATTATTCATATTGTCCATGTTGATTGTAATGCCGATTCTCCAATGAAAGCTTATTATCTTAAAATAAAACAACTGGCTTTATAAAAAATTTAAACGACATGATTACTTTTGAAATTGACTCAGTTTCGCGTGTCATATTTCTAATCTTATTAAAAGAAACCTCCCACGTTATTTTTCTTGCCGTGAGCTTTAATAATTTCCAACCCGCCTCGTTATTCAATTCCTCCAGTAATTTCGTTTGGAGGTGACTGCGACAGCTCAAACTTCCATAATTTCAGACATAAGATATTCATCGTTTTGTTTGTTGTTTTGTCGTAATCGATAAGTTTTTTATTGCAAAGAAATTTATTTAAAAGGAAAATTTTTTTTTCGACAACAGCGATTACAACCTGTCCAATTGCACTATTTTTTGGAATAGAATTTTTTATGTATATATTTTTATAATCATATAATTATTTAATTATAATAAAAAAATATATTTTTTGTTACTTATAAATATAATTTTTCAACAAAATATTAATAAAGCTTGTATAATTTTAAATCGTAATTTATAATATAATAATTATAATTTTTTTTTTTGAAAATCACTTTCCTCCAAACTTCAATTTATTCTATACAATATTTTTCCTTAATTTCAATTTTTTTTAATGTCAATATAAAATTTTATTTAAATGTTCCATTTATCTTTTTTAAAAGATGAATTTTTATAAAATTAGAGTTGACCTTTAATACTTATAATTAAGTTTAATTTTAAATTTTTAAATTTAAGTTTTATAATACGTAAATTTAATTATTTAATTAAATTATAATATATCAATTAATTATTTAATAATATAATAATTAATTATTTGTTGCATTATATGCATGTAACACTTATGATAGTAATTTAAGAATAACGTTTTTTATAGAAAATTTTTTTCATAATATTAGTAATTATTATGAAGTTTGGTGGTTAACAGTAAATATGACAATTCAGATACGACATGAAAATAATCCAAAAAAAATCATATGTGTTTTCAAAGAATTTGTTTTATGTTTATTTATATCAATATAAATTTTGATATAACATAATTCGTGTAGTATATGTGTTAACATATTTAAATACATGATACGATATGAATAACACGTTTAATTTAATCTTATCATACGAATATACATTTAACATATTTTTTATATTTATTTTAATTTAATATGAACATATAAAGATTATTTTAATTTTTAATCTTTTATTATAATACTTAATTAGTTATTTAATAGCATATAAAAATTATATTAAACATTTAATTATGATATTTATTTAATAATTATTATAAAATTATTTTTATATTAATAATATAATTATAATATAAATATTAATATTAGTCCAATATATTATTATTTTAGTCTTTAATCTTTAATAGTTTATCATTTTGAATTTATACTAAAAATTAATATAGTTATATAATATAAATTAAATTTTAAATATATATTAAATACATATTAAATGAGTATTAAATTTTTTAATATATAAATATTTTTATATTATTAATATATTAAATTTATTAAATTGTAAATAATTGATAGTTTACAGTTATTTATTATTTTAATTATATTTTATATATATTCGTATTAGTCTTATTTATTCGTATATATTCATGTTAATTATATTTATTTATGTATATTCATATTATTTATGTATTCATATCATATTTAAACGAATTTATTATACACATATTAATTATATCGTATCATATGTAATACATATATTAAATATATCATATTTATATTTAAAATTTAAATATATTTTATAATTTATATCATATTTATATTTTAATAATTTATGTTATTATATATATCAAACACAATACAAATTCAAAACTTAGATTTTCAAGTCTAATTGACAGCTAAGTATCCACTATAATTGTAAAACATGAAAATATTTAGAAAATAATAATTTAAAATGCACGAGTTGTGCACAAACAAATTAAAAAAATACAACCAGTGTCGTCAAAAGGGCCCATTATAATTGTAAAGCATGGAAATATTTAAATCAAATAATAATTTAAAATGTACAAGTTGCACCCAAACAAATAAAAGAAAGTAGAACTCATGTTGTCAAAGCCGCCCCTTATATTCCGAATGCATTTCTATTCACATCAAAAGTAACCTTCTTTGTTATTTCTTGCCGACAACTTTGATAATTTCATTTGAAAGTGCAATCGCATCTTTTAATTTAAATTATGAAATTAAGATAATCAAAACTTTTAACATTTTAAAAATAAGATATCATTACTTAAAAAGAATCATAATTTTTTTTTAATTTAATAATTTAAAATATAATACGATCACATAATATAAAAAAATAATATTTATTATATATAATTTTTATATAAAATATAATATAAATATAATATTTTATATGATATGATAATATGAATTATTAAATTTATTTTTTTATAATAGATAATTTTTTATTATATAGAAACTTATCTAAAAAAAATTTATCAATGACAGCTTCTGATAACTTTACCTAAATTCATTTTCTTCGGAAAAAGAAGCATTTCATATAACAATTATAAATTATATATTCCATTTAAATCACCGAATCACGCTACTATTCGCAACTATTAAAGGATATGTGTTTCCTTGAAAACCACTCTACTAAATATTCCTCCTATACCAAACAATGTTTTTCTATTATTTATTCTTTTGTTAAAATTTAAGTCACTTTGCCGAATTAATTATTAAGTTTAATTGTTGACTGCTGACCAGGCCCTTGGCCCCGGTTATAATTGCGATGCATTGAAATATTCAAAGAGAAATGCTAACAAGTTGCACAAGCAAATTAAAAAATAACAAGTTGCACAAACCAAATAAAAGAAAATACAAGGGAGAATATCAAACAACCACACAAAATTTAAAATATTTACGAGGAAGGGATAATTTTTTTTTTTTGAAGTGAATTTCGCATTAGAGACTTGTATCTGCCTTGACAGATAACTTCCCTAAGAGTTGTTGATGGTTTAATTATTTTGATTTAGATACACTTACATGATATTCCGTCAAGGGGAAAGAACAAGGAATTCGGGTCTTCGTCAATGGCATTAAATAAAAAATAAAGACAACCTTATAGTCCTTTTGCTCGTCTTGCTTACCAGTTCAATCTAATATCTTCTTTCTTGAAATTGAACTTTTTTCGATCCCTCGTTCTGAACGATAGAGAAAATGGTTTGGGAAATTGCGGTTGCAGCGGCTGTGGGAAAGGCGTTACTCTCGTCGTCTTTTAGTATGCTGTTTAAGGAGATGGCTTCCGGCAAGTTCCTAGACTTCTTCCGGACAAAGAAACTCAGCCTCGATCTCTTGCAGAAGTTGAAGTTGAAGCTACTAGCTGTCAACTCTGTGCTCGATGACGCTGAGGAGCAGCAGCATGTCATGAACTTACCAGTTAAAGAGTGGCTGGATGAACTGAAGGACGCTCTTTATGAAGCAGAGGATCTGTTCGATGAGATTGCAGCTGAAGCTTTGAAGTACGACATGGAAGCTGGGTATCAAACCCAAAAAGAACAGGTAGATGCTTTTAACGCTGCTCTTAAGAAAATTGTTGACAGATTAGAGCTTATAGCTGAAGAAAAAGACTTCCTTAGTCTGAAGGAAGGCCCAAGTGACAAATCGTTACCAAGATTGCCTACAACTTCCTTGGTCAACGAATCTGAAGTATGCTTCCGGAGTAATGAAAGGGAGCTAATAGTTGACCTTTTGCTATCAGATCATAGAACAACTGAGAATGGAATACCTGTGATTGTAATTGCAGGAATGGGTGGCATTGGCAAGACCACCCTCGCTCAGTTTGTGTACAATGATAGGAGGGTGAGGGATTCTTTTGATTTGACAGCATGGGCTTATGTCTCGGAAACATCATCTGATGTTTTCAAGGTGACCAAAACAATTTATGAATCTCTCATCTTCAACCCTTGCAGTCTTAATAACTTAAACATACTTCAGGTTAAACTGGAGAGTGTTCTGGCGGGAAGGAGGTTTCTACTTGTCTTGGATGATATGTGGAATGACAGTCTTATTGATTGGGATCTTCTCCAAATACCATTTCAAGTTGCAGCACGTGGAAGTAAGATCATCATGACAACACGATGTCAAAGTGTTTCATCCACTATGCATTCTGTTCTTGTTTGTTCTTTGACACCATTGAGATATCAAGATTGCTGGTCAATATTTGCAAAGCATGCTTTTGGAAATGAAGATTTGATCAATGAAGATTCTCCATTAAAATCGATTGGCAGGAGGATTGTGGAAAAGTGCCAAGGTCTGCCCTTAGCTGTTAAAACGCTTGGATGTCTTTTGCATTCCAAAGTAGAAGCTAATGAATGGGACGATGTATTGAATAGTAAAATATGGGATTTGCCAAGTGGTAAGAGCCATATTCTACCGGCCTTGAGATTGAGTTACTATCATCTCCCTTCTCATCTAAAGAAGTGCTTTGCCTATTGTTCCATTTTTCCTAAGGGTCATGAAATTGGAAAGAAGGACTTGGTTCGCTTGTGGATAGCAGAAGGCCTGGTGCAGCAGCAAAAGGGTGCAAGAACTGAGGAAGTAGCTGAACAGTACTTCGATGAGCTAGTATTAAGGTCATTTCTCCAACGGTCGGGTCATGGTTCATGCTTTAAAATGCATGACCTTTTGAATGATTTAGCTCAACATGTAGCAGGAGAGTTCAGTTTCAAATTTGAGGATGATGGCTTACCCCTAAACCCAGAAAGAGTTCGCCATTTGTCATACATAACGAATCGTGATGAAGCTCCCGACAAATTTGAGGCCTTTTCTGAAGTATTCAACCATTTGCGAACTTTTCTACCACTCAAATCATCAGCCACTTCCAGCAGGGTTCCTTTGTCTCCTATAATCTTTAATAGCTTGTTTCCAGGCTCTGATGACAAAAGTAAGAGCCTGTTTACAAAATCCGATGATAGAAAAAAGAACTTGCTTACAGAATCCGATGATAGGAAAAAGAATTTGTTTCCAGAATGCAGTCGCCTGCGTGTATTGTCACTGTCTCCTTATCATATCACTAACCTGCCTGAGTCCATTGGCAACTTAAAACATCTACGCTACTTGGACCTTTCTTACACTGAAATTGAAAGTTTGCACGATAGAGTTTGTTCTCTGTATAATTTAGAGACATTGAAGTTGTCAGGTTGCTTCCAACTTTCCCAGTTGCCTACAGACACGTGCAATCTTACTAAATTGGAGTATCTTGATATAAAGGGATCAAATGTTAAGGAGATGCCACCACAATTCGGTAATTTGACAAAACTTCAGTCGTTGACTACGTTTGTTGTGAACAGAAATAGTGGGTCAAGGATTAGTGAGTTGAAGAAACTTTCTCTTCTTCGTGGTACTCTTTCCATTGAGGGCCTGCACAATGTTTTTCAACCAGCAGATGCCTCAGCGGCCAATTTGAGGGTTAAAAAGCACCTGGATGAGTTAATTTTCAAGTGGGCACCTGGTACTCATATTGTACATTATGAAACTGTGGTACTTGAAAGGTTACGGCCTCATGAATATTTGAAGAAGCTCCGCATACAACACTTTGGTGGTTCAAACCTTCCAGACTGGTTAGGGGATGCCATTTTCTTCCAAATGGTGACCCTGCATCTTGTTGATTGCGAAAATTGCGCTTCACTGCCGCCACTTGGGAACCTACCCTGTCTAAAAGAACTCCACGTTGAAAAAATGCGAGGACTACGACGCTTGGGCCCTGAATTTTATGGAAACAATCCCAGGCCATTCAGAACCCTGGAAATTTTGCGGTTTCTAGGGATGCCATATTGGCGAGAATGGTTACCTTATTTAGATGAAGGTGGATTTCCTTACCTCCAAGAGCTCACTCTGCATGGATGTCGACAATTGGTTGGGAATCTACCCAACCATCTTCCGTCCTTGGCAAAGCTTCACATAATGGAATGTAGGCAACTGAACTTCGTTCAATCGAATGGGAGAAACCGGTATTCTACGCTTGAGCATTTTCACATAAGTGGAAGCTGTGATGGCCTTCAAACCTTTTGGTTAGGCGGGTTGGCAAGACTTGTAAAACTTAAACTCCAGGATTGCAGATTTCTTAGATCTATCGAGATGCAAAACGAGCATGAGCATCTCCCATTTCTTCAAAAATTGAAAATTGAAGACTGCCCCGATCTGGGAAACTTCTTTGGAAGAGGTTTGCCATCTCTCCGGATGTTAAAAATATCTCGTTGTTCAAATCTCTTCAATTTTGGGGATGGTGGTCTACCAACCAATCTCCATTCATTTTGTTTTGAGGAATGCGGGAACCTCCCACCCCGGGAAGCTTGGGGTCTGCAAAATATGGCCTCACTCATATTTTATGAGATTGATGGTGTCAAGGAACAACTAAGAGTAATGAATGGCGATGAGGCACCAGGGAGAGTCTAGATCTTCATAGACCATGGTTGAGGAGGCTCCGAAAGTGACTCATTTGAAGACCCTACGGGTTCAATGGCCACTCCTTCAATTATGCTGTTTTTGTCGAGGTCGACTAGCAAGCTTTCAGTCCATGCATTACAAATCACAAGTGCTCTAAAGCCGCTCCAGCCATTTCCATATGCAGATTAAAGGTTTGGCTTCTTACCTGCTGCTTTTTTCTTTTTCTCACTGCTATAAAAAAGTGTTTAATAGAAAAAAAATTGTAATTCTTCTTTGTCAGAACAACAACGAAGTGACAAGATCAATTTGAATGTCAGAACTCCTTATTCGGAAAATGGAAGACACTCAAAGCATTCAATCCTGCAGACTTAATAAGGAGATGATTCTTTTCCAGAAGATCAATATGTTAAAAGTTTCCAATTGTTCTATAAAATTCCAATTACTATTCTCTTTCTTCTCTTCTTTTATTTTTGTTGCATATAAGCCAGAGTTTATTTCTGTTACATATTATTTGTGATGAAAATATTTTATAAGCCAAGAGTTTTTGCTGCAGGTAGCCTAGCTAGTATCGGTTGATTTGTTTACTAACTTAGGGAAAGAATTTTTCTAGAATCTTATTTTTTGAAATGTGATTCTTATGTTTGATTTAGGCTATTTGATTTTTGGGGTAATCTAAGAAGTTTAACCTTTCCTTGAAATTTTTTAAGATTCGGGTTAATTTTGTTTCATATTTAATCTTATTAAAAAAAATTTTAATCTATTTTATCCATGAAAATTAATGTTATTGTATACTTATTACTGACAGAAAATTTGGCATTTATAGCTACACAATTTAACAAAGGTGCAATCCTAGGCATAAGATTGGACATATGGCACTAAAAATGATCGTAGGATATTACAAATAATAAAAGAGTTTTTAATAAAACAAACGTAGTGAATAACTTTAATTTTTGGTTTTTTAATTTTTTTTATTTTAAAAAGTATTACGTTTTTTTTATATATGAAAAGCAATAGATCAATTAAAATAATAATAAAATAAAATAGATATTTTCATATCAATAATGTTTCTTACGTTGAAAATATAATAATTGATATGATAATATAAAATAATAGTTTTGATATTTTTTAGTTACATTTTTATATAAAAAAATATAGTCTTTTAATAACGAAGATCACATTTTCAATATAAAAAAATCATGATTTTGACATAAGAAATATAATTTTTGTTAAATAACAAAAATCACCTTTCTTATGTAAAAAACATAGTTAATAATCTATTAAAAATCACGTTTTTTGTTTCAAAATATGATTGATAATAAATAAAAAATAATATAATAAAACTTACATTTGAACATAATATAACCCCTTTTTTTTTTTGGGTAAGAATAGTCTTTGAAGGAAACAAACGTGGTATTCTATGAAGTTTATAAAAAAAAACCAACAAAGATGGTATTTTTGTTTTCATAAACCTAGTGGTTATAAATTTTTTTTTCATGTCAAAGATGATGTTTTTCAATGAGGAAACGTTATCTTTATATCAAAAATTACATTTGTACATTTATAAACTTAGTCTTTGATTAAAGTAAAAAACATTGATTTTTCCTCCCAAAACGCCATCTTTAATGAAATGTAGCCATTTAGTTAAATGAAATTAGGTGATTTAAATGTTTTAAACACTAAGTTTATTTTCATATAAATATAGCGTTTGATATAAACACTATATTTATACAAAGAAAAGTTAAGTCTTTGATTATATTTAACCTTTTTTGTAATAACAAAAACATAATTTTTTACTATATTTGATTTTATTTTTTTGGGTTAAAAATTACGTTTTTATTTAACAAAAACATTATTTTTAACATATAATAAAAGACATTATAATAAAAAAACTTTATTACATAATTTGAGTTTTCTCGAATCAAACACAAAAATATAATAGTTTTATGTTAGGAAGAATTACTTATTGTAGGAATTTCTTCTCTAAATCTAAAATTTTACAAATCAAATGCCTCTAACTATTTAATTAAATTTATTATTGAAACTTGGAACGATAAACAATTAATTAAGATTTAAGGGCAGAGTGTTAAAATCTTTAATGCAAAAGTGTTTTTTTCTTATCACCCAAAAACAATAATTAATTGTCTTATTGATAAATTCAATTCACAATTTTAACTAAAGCTCCTATACAATTACACAATTTTTTTTTTTAACTTACTCCAACTAAATTTCAAAAGTATTTTTGAACAACACAAAAAAAATAGCTTAATCATATATCATGCCTCAATCAACTCTTCAAATCTTATTTTTTTAATAAAGAAGTCGTAACTTGAGATAGGAAAAAATAATAGATGTTAAAATTTAAATTTTAAATAAATTAAATATTTTTTTAAAATTAATTATATGAATTAATTAAAATAATTAAACTTTAGATTCAATTTCTTTGAATCTTATATGAAATAACATATTTATAATAGACTTGAATAATTTTAAAAGATCTACTACTAAAATAATAAATATTATTATTTATTATTAATAAGTGATTAGTTCAATTGATTAAAGTTTATTTTTTTCGACAAAAAAATTTTAGATTCGAGTCAGTGATGTTGGAATCATTTCGAATATATGACTTATAACTATTTTAAACTGTTAAATATGACATATCTTACTTTAATTTTAAAGACTGAATAATTTATCTATTTCAAATTTTTCTTTTAAAAAATTGTTATTTGTGAGATGCACATTTCATGCCAATAAGGGCTACAAATGAAATATATTTCTTTTTTTGTCATGATTAAAGCGGACATGAGTTATGTAATGAAAGTTGTACAAATAATAATAATAATAATAATAATAATAATAATCAACTTGCATAAAAAAATTTTATTTTTTTTAAATTTTTATTTTAATAAATTTAAAAGATTATATTAAATTATTTTTATCTTTTTTATTTGTCTTTTTATCTTTTTAAATTTATTGAAATTAATAATTAAAAAAAATATAAAACTAAAATATTTTTTACTGATATAAGTTAATTTTGCTCCAATAAAAAAGTTTTACGTTTATTTTATTTAAATATATTAACCTTTTCAAGATTTCTCTAAAAATAATAATGAGATAATATTGATAATCAAGAAGTAATTAATTATTAATTATAAAAATATAATTTAAATAAATTATAATCAGTTGTAATATCTCATCATCTTTCTTCTTATTATTTTTTATATATTATTTGCACTACCTATAAAAAAAATTCCGTAAATATAAACCATCAAAATTGAACCATACATTTTTTTTTTTTAATTCTTGTCTTCTTATCTTTTCTCTTTTATCATTTTCATCCACTAAAAATTATTATTTAAAACTTAGCCTACTCAACTAAAATTTCTTTCCTTTGCAGTTCAGGGCTTTCGTAATTTAACCCGCATTTACACCTAATGCATCTTAAACTACTAGTGTCCCCTAATCACTAAAATTTTATTATTATTACACCCAAATGAAAGTGTTCCCCTTCCTTTTATTAGTCACGGAAGCAAAACTCTCAAAATTCCACCGTTGAAACCTCATCAGATCTAGCAAAATCAGTCTGTTTCTTGCACTTTGTCTCATCATCTGCTAGCCTTCAACATGCCTGGTGTATCTACTTCCATTCGGGTTCTTTTGGGAAAGCTTCAGTCGGTTCTAGAATCAGACTTCCCAAAAAAGCATAAAAAATCTGCTTCATACTTGGAAATGCTTCAATCGAGGCTGTCGAGTATTAGCGCTGTGATTTCGGGTGCTGAGGAGCAGCAAAAAGAAGATAACAGCGTGAAGTATTGGCTTCAGAAGCTCGAAGATGTTGTCTACGACGCAGACGATCTTGCGGATGAGATTTTGTACGACGACACGAGAAGCAAACTGGAAGGTGAATCTCAAAAAGTACTAACATCTTTGCCACGCCAGTTCATTCCTTCTTTTGGGAAACAATATGGAAAGGGTATGAAATTAGAGATCAAGCAAATTGTGAAAGTTATTGAACTCCTTGATGATGAAAAAAACAGATTTAACTTCAAGGCAAGAAAATACGAAGAATTCCGATACTCTGACAGATTGACTACAAGTTCTTTGGTTGATGAAGCCCAAGTCGTTGGTAGATCTGAAGACAGGAATAAAATCGTTCGCTTGTTACTGTCAGGGGATGCAAAACTTGATGGGATTGCCATAGTGGGCATGGGGGGGTGTGGAAAGACCACCCTTGCTAAGCTTGTATACAACAATGATAAGGTGCGTCGGCGTTTTGACCTTCAAGCATGGATAAGTGTTTCCTTGGACTTTGACATTCTGAAAATCACCAGGGCAATTGTTGAGGCCACTACTTCGCCTAGTCCTAAGAGCTACAACCTAGATCTGCTTCAAAGTGTATTGCGTGATAGCTTAGCCGGAAAGAGATTTCTACTTGTCTTAGACGATGTTTGGAACGAAGATATAATAAAATGGGATGCCCTAAAAATTCTTCTGAAATCTGGTGCAAGGGGAAGCAAGATCCTTATTACCACACGCAGCAGAAATGTTGCGCGTGTTATGGGCTGTTCCACTTGTTTTGAACTAAGCCTATTATCGCTGGAGGAAAGCTGGTCTTTGTTTCAAAAGTCTGCATATGCTGGGATGGGTCAAAGTGTTCCGAGAGATCTTGCGGATATTGGCATGGAAATTGTGAAGAAATGCCATGGCTTACCTTTGGCTGTAATGGCAATGGGGGGCCTCTTGCGTTACAAAAGGACCCGTGAAGAGTGGCATCAAGTCCTGGACAGCAGCATATCATTGACAACCGAAGCTGAGGGACCAATTTTTCCAATTCTGCGTTTGAGCTATGATTACCTCCCCGATCATCTAAAGCACTGTTTTGCTTTTTGTTCCTTATTTCCCCTAGATTATGAGCTTGAGAAGGAAGAAATGGTCCTCTTGTGGATGGCAGAAGGCTTTCTAGCAAACTCTGGTGGCCAATCTTTGGAGCAGGTAGGTGCTAAATGCTTTGACGGTTTATTAGAGAGGTCATTGTTTATACAAGATGGCTTGTTCTTTAAAATGCATGATCTTGTGCATGATTTAGTAACTTTTGCATCCGGAGAAGAATTTTATTTATTACAAGGCAATCATCCAATACCTAAGAGGACACGCCATATATCCTTTTTAGCCAGCCAATATGATGCCTCTCAGAAACTACAGGGCATTCATGAAGCTAAGAACTTAAGGACGTTCTTTCTAATTAATTCTCCTTCAGATCATGGATCTTGTCAATTAAGTCCTCGTACATTGGAGGATATTTGTTCAAGACAACAAAGATTGCGAGTCCTATCTTTATCTCAATATCAAGATGCTCGATTGCCCGATTCAATAGGCAAATTGAAGCATCTACGTTATCTAGACCTCTCTGAAAGTGCATTACATAGTTTGCCTAAATCATTGTGTACTCTGTACTATCTAGAAACACTGCTGTTGACAAACTGTGTAAAACTTATAATGTTACCAGAAAGCTTTGTCAAGCTGTTCAACTTGAGACATCTCAACATTAAGGGAGCTGGTTTGAAACAGATGCCAAAAGAAATGAGCAGATTGAAAAACCTTCAGACTTTGACAAATTTTATTGTGGGCAATGGGCTGAATATCAAAGAGTTGGGTGCACTAGATCTTCACGGAACACTGTTCATTTCGAACTTGCAAAATATATCCTTCCCATCTGATGCATCTGATGCCATGTTGAAAGCTAAGAGATATCTCAATGAACTACGGTTGGAATGGAGCAGCAATGAAAGCAATCCAGCCAAGGACATGCAGACGGTGCTGGAGAATCTAGAGCCTTCTAAAGAGCTGAAAAAACTTACAATTCAATATTATGGGGGTACAGAGTTCCCGTCCTGGTTGTGTGACTCTTCATTCTCAAACATAGTGTTTCTATGTCTCCGTAACTGCAATAATTGCTCTTCTTTGCCTCCACTTGGGCAGCTGCCATCACTAGAACACCTCATAATTGAAAGGATTGTTGCAGTAAGTAGCATCGGCCATGAATTCTATAGGGTGGATGGATCCATTTCTAAACCTTATCATTCTTTGAAGACTTTAACATTTGAAGGAATGAGACAATGGGAACAGTGGATATCACTTCAAGATGAAGAATTTCCTTGCCTGCAGAAGCTTTATCTGATAAACTGTCCAAAACTGGAGGGTGGTTTACCAAAGAGCCTTCCTTCCTTGGTAGAACTGAGGATCTCTGATTGTCAGATGCTTGCAGCTTTACTTCCAAGGACTCCAGATACTTGTAAAGTGGAGTTAAACAATTGTGATCAGGTGCGGCAGAGAAGTAATGGTGATAATCAGTCAAGAACTAGTGATGTTGAAGAACCATCCCAATTTCCTTCAAGTGTAAGTGAGATTTCAGGTTATCATCAACGTGATGACTTTTCAGACTCCATACCAAGTAAGAAACTGCTAGAGGATGATTCTTTTTCATCTGCCTCTTCTGTGACTTTCAAAGTGTCAAGTATCACAAAATTAATGGACTTACCACCCAGGTTGCCCAGCCTCAAAATTGAGAGATGTAATGCCTTGGAGTCCCTACCTACAGGAATACTGGACAGACCTCTTCTTCAACGTCTTTATATCATCGATTGTGATTCACTCAAAACCTTTCCTCAACTTCATCAACCCAGTTCATTGAAAAGACTTTATATCCGCAACTGCAGAAACTTTGAGTTTCCTCAACATATTGAAATGGCAAATCAGTTTGTTCGCCTTGAAAATTTATATTTGGGGAGCAGTTGCGATTCTCTGGTGTCCTTCTCCTTGAATTCCTTCCCGAATCTTAAAACTCTTAGTCTGTGGGACTGCGAAAATCTTCAAAGTCTTTCAATCGAGAAGGGTTTGCAAAACGATGTAAAGTCACTTGAGGTCTTAGAAATTCGGGATTGTCCTAATTTGACAACTTTTCCTAAAGAGGGATTGCAAGCACTGAACCTGACATCACTTGTTTTGTCCAACTGCAACAACCTCAAGTCACTCCCACGGTGGATGCAAAGCCTCAAATCTCTTCAGTCACTGCATATAAACAAATGTAGGGAATTGGAGCCACTTCCACCATGGCGCCTGCCTTCCAGCTTAAATATACTTTGCATCTCTCTTTGTGACAAAATAACTCCTCAGACAGCGTGGGAGTTGCATAAACTTCCTTCTCTTAGTCATTTCGAGATTGAAGGTGGATGCCAAGAAATGTTGTCATTTCCGGAGGATAGTCTGCTGCCAACTAATCTCAAATCTTTACGCATCAGCAGCCTGTTGAATCTCAAATCCCTGGATAAAAATGGGCTTCAACAACTCACTTCGCTTCGAATTCTAGAAATAAAAGATTGTAACGAGCTTCGTTCCTTGCCTGAAGATGGGCTACCTCACTCTCTGCATCATCTTAGTATCACGGACTGTTCTTCACTGAATCCGAAGCTTCAAAAGAGGAAAGGAAAGGAGTGGTTCAAGATAGCTCATATTCCTTCCATCCATGTTGGTGATCAGGTAAGAATCTCATAAACATCTCTAGAAGAGTCCTTTTGCAGGATTCAAGGATGAAAAATATACGTGTGAAAAAAAACAGTGACAAATGAAGGTCGTCCTAGTTTCTTAATGCATCATATTTCTTGCATTTTCAGGTCATTGAAGATGCTGATTTCTCTTCTACAACAATGAATTTGTCAGACATGCCAGTTACTTTTAACATAAAAAAGTAAGAGTGACTTGGTGACCTCAATCCTTAGTACAAGAAATGTGATAATTAGCAATAAAAATTTCATGTAATGCTGTAAGATGTTTTACAAAATATGTTTGTAATAACTTCTATGCACACTTATTGCAGCATGAGACTTTTATCATGTTAAAAAAATGTTGTGCAAAGGATTGCAAATAGTAGTGTTTTAAACAGCATTAACAATAATATTGTATTTATTTTTGTTGTAAAATATAATTTGTACTTGTCTTTTGCAACATAATACCATATATGTTGTGAAAAAATATATATTTTGTTTTTACTTTTCATTACTATTTTGATGCAATTATGCTCTAGACACTCGCCTCTCTTGAACTTGATCACCAGGTTTGACACAAGAAGTTCAACAGTACAAACAAATTGTTTGACTCTATACATTCAACTAATACACAATGGTATTATCACATGATCCATATCATGAATTTATATATTATGATGCCTACATATCATGAGATTACTTAGTCAAATCATTGCTGTTTATGGGAGAGGGGTAGCTAGTGAGGTTGATTGTATTGGATGTTAGTTCCTAGTGTAAAATGTAAATAAACAATTTGATGCATGCTTTTACTAGTGTGGGATTGTTGAAGAGGAATTGTCATAAAGTTTGGTCAAGATGGCTATGGAAGCCGGATGTTCTTTGAAGTTTGAATCAATCTTTTTTCCAATTAAAATATATTTTATATACATTTGTTTATGCAAGACATGAACTAACTCAAAACACATTTCCAGCCAACTTCCCGTTTTTCCCTTGACTGACAACAACACACATCTACCTTCTTTTTTTTTTTTCAATATACAGTCATCCATTGACTCTTCTACCCGTCTTTAATGCTCTAATTATCCATGTTTTTCCATCAAATTCATTTTTTGCCAACTTTCATTAAATACTTAATTATATTTTTATGATAGTTATGTGATCTATTAGTAGAATATTGTATTCTTAGTTTCTATAACTAAGCTTCAATCTTGATATCCTTAAATATGAAAAAAAAGAAAAGAAAAGAAGCAAATTATCTATTTAGTTTAAGTTATTATTGGATGAACGATGAACTCTGCCATCTAATATTTGAATTCAAAATAGGATATTGCTTCTCCTTCTTCCTCCTTTCTATCTTTCATCTTCCTCTCATAATTTTTTATTCTGCAAAAAGTTTTGTGATAGACAAAAAAGGCAAATGGATTGCTCAATATGTAGTTCAATGCCAGTGATTCTAAGGCATCTAAGGAATACAATATGTGGAGCATGCTATGGGGCAAGAAATGGAATAACCTTGATGAACAAGCTTGAAAATGATCATTGTAAAGGAACTAACAAAGACAGTAATATTCCTGTTGCATCTTCACCAAATTCCTGTAAGGCAAGGCCTGCTTTCATGTTTCCTTTCTTAATTCGGTGGCCCAGTCCTTGCAATCAATCATTTCGAACCTCGATCCTTTCATGTTTTCCTGTTGCATTTTCTGTTTGTACCGGTGCAGTAAATGTATGGTTTGAACTGCTATGATTCTGTAATTGCTGTTAGAAATCTGCATTCGAATTATTTCGGTATGGAAAATGATGCCTAACTTTATATCTTACCGACTTCTTATGAAGTAGGGACATGCCTGAACCCTTGCGTGCACGTGTCATATCCGGGTTAAAGTATCTGTTTTTCTTTGTGTTAGCCACGGCCACTTGCAAATCTTACCAAATGGATAACAAGCATGAAGGATATAGAAGATGATTTGAATAAGAAAATAATCTTCTTGAGTGGACTTGTTGTGGTTTTCAGAGAACAAATTCACATTGACATTCAGTTCAAACCTGCAACAATGGGGCTTCCATACCAGCACACAGAGGCTTACTGGATCTTTAATTTCCACATTTTTTTTTCTGTAAACTAAAATCAATTATTCATTTACTGAATTTATAGGCAGCAGGATCAGAGATATTCAGGAGCATGCTTGACTCTGCCAGAGTTGAATACTGTAAAGAACTTGAGTGTTTCTTTACAGTGGAAACTCGCCCTTCGACAAGTTAGAGAAGCATGTCTTCTCATAGTTTGTTGCAGCTGATAAGTATGAGATTCAACACTTTCAAGATTTCAGCAAACGGTACATGCTAAGTTCCTTGAATGCCTGAAATGTTCTTGAAATTTTAGAGATCTCAAATGTTTGTTCAAACAAGACATTAAAGGAAACTACCTTGAACTTCAATATTGCTAGAAACATGGAGGATATAGTTTTCTCAGCTAAGTATGAAGTTTGTCCATCCAAGAACCCTCATCTCGGTATGCAGATTACAAGGGCATTTTTAATGGATGCCAAAACCAGAAAAATTAATGGAGTTTAACTACCATTCCGTTTGAAGAAGAAATCAATCAACAGAAAATATCTGATATATTCATGCAAAGACAATTAAGGGGAAATCACCAAGAATATGTAGAATATATCTTACATGCAAAGATGCATGCAAAGCAATAAAATTCTGATTTGTTAAAAAAAATGATAATTAGCTTGTTTGAGCTCATCATTGATTAATGGAAAAAAAATAATCGAAAGGATGTATAAAGAAAAGATTAAAAAAAAAAAAGATAAAATTTATATTGTTTTACAAGAAAAATCCAATTTAATCCATCTAAGTTGAAAAATGTTCAACTTTTAACCTCATAAATCAGATTTTATCAAGGTAACTTTTTAGAGTATATTCTTTTGGGTAATCTTTCATTCATTTTCCTGGCAATTGCCATACACGTGGGAAGCACGTGAACCAAAAAAGTAGCTGAACCGGGACGGTCCGGCTTCAAACAAGACAAACCGAAAAATCCTTCCTGTATAAAACGCCGGCTCTCTTCCTCTGCGACTCTGCAAGTCTGCGAGGCTCCAACGGCGATGATTTCTTATTCCAAAAAAAAAAAGTTGGGTTATTAGGGATTCGGACCCTCTGCCTTGGCGAACTTCTTCTGCCAACTCTGGTTCTTTCCCCTTCGTTCGACCCTTGACTATATATTATACAGGTTCTTATTTTTTTCTTAAAAAAAAAAAAGAAAAATACTATGGGTTAATTTAGTTGATTTTGGTACTTAACTTATGATTATTCAAATTGTTATATGGGAAGATTAAAATGATTATTACATGTTATATTTTCTTAAAGGTGAGTAAGTGTTTGTTTGTGTTCACTTCTGGATCAATGGTTTTCGAAAAGAAAATCAAAATTAATATTAAGTTTTGTAGGAATTAAAGAAATTCAAAAGAGAGTGTTGCGATTTTAATCTCACGTCAAATGTGTGTAATTTCGATGTGGGTTCATGCCTCTATCCTTTAAGAGTTCTAAAAAATCTTACTTTTGCACAGAAAAAAAAAATTATTAATTTGTATTTGGTGTGGAGGAGGAAAAAAATAGAGGGAAAGAAAGATATTATGAGTAAAATTGTAAACAAAATTATTAATTTAAGTTGAATGATTGATTTTATCTTGTTTTTAGAAGAATTGGATTTGGAAAGAAGGGAAAGGTGTAAATCTACTGCGGTGTATAGAAAAAAAAAAATTCTTTTAGTAATTGAAAAATGTTTACTAAATATCAAATAACAAAGTGTTAAGCAAAAGACGGTGCCTAAGTTGATCAAGTAGAATTCTTGTTTTAGCTAATGTTCTCTCTATTTGTAGAAAACCCCGCTTCGACAACTTCAATTTCCAGTTCCACGACTGCACAAACATCAGCAAGTACAAGGTACTTATATTTTATGAATGCTTTTTTTGTCAAATTATTTAATGACTGCTAATATCAGAATAAAAAACAGAAATGGGTTATAGGTCGATTGTTGACTATGGGACTAAAGCTCCTTTAAGCATGGGATTTGGTTAGAAAATACAGTTGTCGCTAATGATGGTTTTGCGCTTTTGTCATTCATTGCAAATGATAGCTTGTCGGCTTCTTCTTTGTCAGGTTCCTCATTGGTTTCTGTCTCACATAACTTTTCTTTCTCTGTTTCTCTCAGGACAAATTCAACTGTCACTATAGTGAATGAGGTAATTTATTTTCTTTTTCTAAATTTTTGTGACATAATATCCTTGTTTTAATCTATTCTGTCTATATTGGCAATTAAACTAATCAATGTTATGTACTAAGGGGCTAGTTAACTTCCATAACAAAAAACAGCAGCCAGCAAATTGACCACCAGCAGTATATAATTTCTGTAATAACTTCATAACTTTGGCTAGTTTAAACATATAGGGATAAAATAAAAGTTATTGTTCTTGACTTGTTGCGAAGAAATGCTCATTCTGAGATGTCTGTGAAAAGTATTATTCCCTTAATTTTCTTTTTTCATTATATCTTTAATCATTGATTAAAAATGATATCATTCAAAATTTCCTTCATAAGTTTGAAATTCTGCTATAAGTCCCTTTTATTTTGGGTATCACAGTGCCCAATCTCAACTTTTCATTGACCACATTGTATGTGCAGCAACTGAATTGAGGATATCTTAGCACCTGAAAAAGGGGCTAAAATATCAAATGTGTCTGAGACAGTTCGCTTTGTTTCTGAACAGGGATGAGGGGAAGTACATATAAAAGTAGTCTCTAAATTGTTAGATATAAATGCTAAATGATTATTTTAACAATTTAGAAATAAATATTAACATCTATGTTCCTGGATGTGCTATGCTTGGTCATGTGCAAATCTCAAGAAACCGTTGACTGGCTCGAAGGATACTGAAGATGATTTGAAAAAGAGAGTAAGTTTCTTAAGCGGATTTGTGGTGGCATTCAAGGAACAAAGCCACACTGATATACAGCTTAAGCCTAACAATGGGCCCTGCATACCAGCACACAAGGCTTTGCTGGTAAAAATCCCTATCTATACCTGCATTACACATCCTTTAGTTTTTTCTACAAAGATTGATCAAGATTTAGCAATTGTGTAGGCAGCAAGATCTGAAATCTTTAAGAATATACTGGACTCAGACGGCTGCAAGGCTCCACCAAGGGGTACTGATACAATCACTCTGTCTGAGTTGAACACTGAAGAGCTTGAGTCTCTCTTAGAGTTTCTTTATACTGGGAACTTGCCCTTAGATAAGTTGGAGAAGCATGTTTTCGCACTATATGTCGCAGCTGATAAGTATGAGATTCCATACTTACAGGAGTCCTGTGAACGTTACATGCAGAATTCCATGAATATATCTAATGCTATTGAAATTTTGGAGATTGCGGATGCTCATTCAAACACGAAACTGAAGGAAACTGCTTTGAACTTCGTTGTCCAAAACATGAAAAGTATAGTTTCCTCACAGAAGTATGAAGATTTTGCTTCCGGTAACCCGCATCTTTGCGTGCAGATTACAAGAGCGTATGTTGATGCGAAAAGCCATTAACTTGGCTTGTTGATGCTTAAAGCCATGCAATCAAGTGTAAGGGAATGTGTAAAGATCAATATAACTATGACTTCTTGGAACAAATTATACTTTTAATGAATCACTGAACCAGTCCATGTGTGAATAGATTAGAATATTGTATTTTGTTTAGCTTATTGTTGGCTCTTCTATGTTTTTATTGTTCCTTACTATTTTCTTCACAATAGTTGATAAATTACTCTCAATATATGATTTATCAGAAATAATAATTTTCTAATCTGTTAACCATACATTTAAATACAAAAAAGATCTCTAATTTTTAATAAAATGTATAATTTATTTTATTTTGAACATTAATATTTTGAATTGATATGACATTTTAACTATTTATTCATTTTCATTTTCAATTACACACAAAGACAGATATATATATATATATATATATATATATAAATTTCCGCAAATTTGTATAATGCTGAAATTAATATCATAAAAATTAAGTAATAAAATCCATTGCAAATCATAGTCCCCTCACAATGTGATATATTTATCTACAAAATTTACAGAAATTTGCTTGAATCTTGCAAGCTTTTTATTTTATATATATAATTTCTGGTACCTACTTTAACAACAATATGTCAGATTTCATTTTTCTGGAGTTACTGTTCTTTCCAAATACGGCCAGCCACTTTCAGCTTCAGCTCCCGCCTATCACCACCTGAGAAGAAGAGTGCCAGGTTCCTTTGAATGATAAGTCCATCTTGACTATCTCGAACTTTCCGATGACTATCACGAATGCTTCTAGGAACTCCTTGCCATATAAACTTTCTGCCATTGCCACCAACTTCCAGGCTGTAACTGAATTCTCTTGCCTCATCTTCATCACCCATGAATCGCAGGAAGGCCATGTAAACTGGTGCCATTCCTATATGAAAAGCCTCAAAGTGCAAGCAAAATTGTCGACCGAAACAGTTGAAAACCTGCAGAACCATCTATGGCTTTAACTATGGATCAACCTGAATGGAACTTCATGAATAGGAAAGCACTCATTAAAGTTTGTTACAATTCCCATGCTAAACATCTGTCAATATTTAATTGGTTTACAAAAGGATTTGGATCAGATAAGAGATCTGTTTGAGATGATGTATGAAAGTTTGTGCACTTGTTACCGGTATGTGTATGTCACAGAGGGGGAGGAAGAGGGCAAGAGATCTTACAGTTAACATCCATGTGGCATTTTCGACTTCATGGGGATTGGATTTGACATATCTGTGGTTGAAAGTACATCCATCGTGCATGTCAACCTTGTGATCACTCTTGAGATGCGTGACAAGAAATGGAATATCACCAGTGACAGAGCATTCGGCTCCCGCATAAGGGCAACTGTATGGGCGATATCTACAGTTTTTTTCATGCTTCAGCTTGCTGTAGTATGGAAAAATATCTTGACAACCCAGAATCTGATATCTGCAAGGAAGTTCCAGTGACTCGGCTACTTTCTCCAGAGCCAGACACCTTATATTTCCAAGCTCATTGCGGCAAGTTGGGCAAGAATTGTGAACTCTAGCCTTGCAAATTGAACATACAGTGTGGCCGTTGGGACACTAACATAAAAGATATGAAAAGATGTGTCACTATAAGAATATTGAAGTAGAAGCTTTATGTTATAATTGTTAGATATCGATGCAATCAAGGAGATCAAAATGTAAAACTTACTCTCTAACACACTTTTACTCATGCATACCAATTATTATAGCACTCTCCATATACCTATCAGCTGCCTAGCCGTCAGGCATCCAAAATGGTTCAATCAAGGAGTAGCATAATCACAAAATGCATATACCAGAATAGCAGTTAAAAGATTTGGGAAAAGGTGTCCAGCTTTGCGGTTCATAAATTATACGAGATACTAATTTCTTCAATCTTGATTAAAAAAGGCAAACCCCGGTGCACAAAGCTCTCCGCTTTGCGAGGGAGTGAAGGTCCATAGTTTGCAGTCTTCCCACATTATATCAAATGCCAATGGTTAAACAATTTGACTTTGATACAAGCATAAAATCTCGAGGAGAATTAATCTCCAAATGCTTTGTGAATTTTTTTTTTTTGGCATGTAAAATGAAGCTACCTGGTAAATTGGAGGATACATCAAATTTATGCAAACAGGACACTCAAGTAGTTCATGCACATCATTTGTTGACGTAGCTCCCAGATTTCCACCTAAACCAGTTGCAGCTTTTCTTAATGGGGAACCTCCTGAGTCTGCACTTGATGTTGCCATATCATAAGCTGAAAATCCAACGCGGGACTCTATCACATCTTTGCAGATACCACCGCCAGGTGCCATAGTTCTAGCTTTGAATGTTAATGCCAGCACACACTCTTTACTAGATCTAGTATAGTGCTAACAATGCAGAGGAGGACGAAAGATGAATTGGACCTTCTCTCTCAACTACTCATTTGCAAAAGTTTCATAACGTTTTTCTGCATTTCTCTCACTTTCTAATATCTATAAAATGCATTCCCCTGCCAATAAAAAGTATTAGACATTAGAAGTTCAATCCATCTGACTCAAGGATAAACCATGAATTTTCTCCAGAAAAGAACAAAAAGGTTAAAGGGCAGCTATGTACTTTAGAATTCATCTTGACAAAGTCAAAAGCCATGAAGAATTTCATGAAGTTCAAGATAGAGATTGGCAACAAGCGATGAACCAGTTAACAATACCAAGAAGGTGCACTGAGCACTGGTACTAAATCCACAATAGATCATAGTTTTATCAAACACATCGAAGATTACAATCTACAGTTAACCATACCAACATGACTGCTTCGTCATTATAGTACCTTAAGAAGTAATCCAAAATTTCTAGTGCTACAATTACGTATTTTGTTACAAGTTCAAGACAAAGCCTGTGATGCTTGAGGAAAATCTTGATTGTCACTGCAGTCTCCTCCTAAAACTACTATTTAACTCGGAGGTTCTGGCTTGTCGTCTCAAAAGCAGCCAAAGAAAAAAGGATTATCATATAAAGGAAAGTTTTAACAGCCTAATCTTCGCATATTGGAATTTTACCGGTAAACAGTTGAAGATGGATAAAGCTAAAACACTAATCAAGCTCAAAAACGAAAAGATGTTCTACTGCAATAATCCAGTGTTAAAAGTCAGCACCAGAATGTTCTTCCCAAATTTCAAAATTAAATAAAAACATTCAATGAAGGTGTATTAATTTGATACAAAAGCAACTTGAGGTGCAGGAGACTATTAAACACCCAAATGTGAAGGTATTGGTCAATATTGAAAATGATGTATATTCACTAATAGAAATGCACCTGAAATTTCTTTACACGTCTGATAAAAAAAGAAACTTATGAATGCTTAACATATATTATAAACCTTTTTTGAAACCGATGGGACACTTTGACAAATCAACCAATCTTCTAGAGACAATTCTAAGTTTCTAACCAACAATCGAAATTCATCTCATTTATACATTAAATGACAGAAGAGCAAAAGAAAAACCTACATCCCTTCTGTCGGTTTTCTTTATGTCAAAATAAACATTAGCACCTCCTAAACTGCTAGATTTCTGTTAAAATCTCTATCGAAACAACATTACCCGCCTATCGCTACAATTTTACCGAAAAGTAGCATGCTAAAACCATGCTATACAACCACCATTAGAACTCCTCTAAGACACTTGACAAACTGTAGATTCTGCAACCACTTCACTTCCAAGTAATCAAGGGAACGTATTGGTTTAGCATCAGAATGAAATGATAATGAGATGCATGCTTATTATTCTCAAGCTCTAACCAGGCAGCAGGTTCCCATTTCCCTCTTTCCTTTTTTGAGTGGTGGATCTATTTTAGGATTGAAAATTTCAAACAGCTCAATATGTAAATCAGAAAAGCATGAAGAGTAAACTATTCTAGGATCCAACTACTAGTCAAAGAGGATATTTGTAAAAGACAACTTCAGGAAAGAAAAGAAAAACAACAAAAAGCCAAAAAAAAAAAAAGCATAAATGGAACCTAGAGGCACTCGTGAGGCTCACTTGAACAGCCCAAAATGGCAAAGTTACCAGCAAATCAATCACTTGAATATGGAAAACCATTTCCCCCCTCTCCTATCAAGAAATTTCCATTTCAGAAGCATAAGGTATCCAGAAAAAAAAAAACCCAATTTTAGATGACCAAAAAACAGCCAAATGAACCAAAATCCAGTTCCAAATACCAAAGTTACCCAATCGAAAATTGACAAATAATCAAAATAGATAGAAAAAAAAAAATTAAAAGCAATACCCAGAAGAAAATCCAAGCTCAAAAGCTCAAATCAATCAACAAAAAGAACAAAAACAAACTCACCAAAACTTACCAAGATGAAAAATTTTATCAGCTCATCCAGTTTCAACTGACCAAATAACGGTAACAGCCAGACCAAACCCAGTTTGCAGTTGCATTGGAATATTCAAAGGGATCCAATCCCACTTTTTAAAGCATCACTAAAAATTGAATCGTTTCATACAAGAAAGAAATAAAGAAAGAAAGGGGTAAACGTGGAGGAAAGGCCGTTAAAGTCGGCTCCGCAAATTGCGTGTCCTAAAAACCTGAACAAAAGAGTCAAAGATTGTTAGATTTGGATCTCCTCTCTGTTCACATACTGACATATCCAAGCATGCGCTTGTGTCACGGATTTAAGGGAGAGTCCTGAATCCCACATCGAACATAATAGGAAGGTCCCTGAGGTATAAAAGGGTTCACACCATCTTCGACTTGTGAGGCGCCTTTTGTAGGACAAAACCGTGAGGCCAGGGGGCCAGAGCGGACAATACCTCACAAGGGTGTGAACTGTGGCGGTCAGGCTGATTCGGGACGTCGAAAGGGTGAATGCCCGGATCCTGGAGCCGCGCGAATTCAAAGCTTAAGTCTCGACCCATGACACTTGCACTTAGACAAGATTAAACTAACTTGTCCAAATTATGAGTTGGCTTATGAAATGACCACTTTAAAAAAATATATATATATATTTGTTTCTAATAAAATAAAATATGAGATAAAATAGCTTGCCCACTTCTTTATAATAAGACAAGATATATTGGTGTTCAATTTGAGATTATTCAATGTCACGATTGCATGAATTTTAAGCTTTGAATCAATTTTTTAGCTAACATTCATCATTTACAAGTAAAGGAAGGTTTCAATTAATTTTAAATTATTAAATTATTAAAAAGAATATTTATGCTCATATCAAGTTGAATGTTTTGATGTATGATAAAATTATTTTTTCAGATTAACAATTTTTAATAGATTCGATAGTTTATACATTTATATTATATAAAATATTAAAATTTATATATTTATATTATATTTTATATAAAAATATAATTAATTTTGATATAAAAATATATAATATATTGTTTAATTTTATTAAATTTATATCTAAATATTATTAAAATTTTAAATTATATTATTTTTATATTTTATTTTTATAATTATAATTATATTATATTATCATATTATATTTTAAATTATTAAATTTAATTTTTATAATAAAATAAAAAATTATTTATGATCGTTTTCGTTTGCCAATAATTTAAATAACGCTTCACGCCCTTTGTGTCGTTATTTTCAACTTAAGTTTACAAAAGCTTCGACATTTTCAACGCGAAGGTGACATTTCCAACACGCAACGTTTTAAAACTCCAAATTTATTTGATTTGACGTGATTTCTAGACAATTGCACCGTTAGATTTTTTAAAAAGTAAAGATATGGAGGCTTTAATTTAAATTAAAATTAATGCTGAAAGTTTTGAACAGTCCGTCCGTTGAACTCACTTAATTCAGTCAAATTTAATTTATTTTAATTTTATTTAAAAAATTAATAATTTAATTCTTTCAAACTTTTTAAATTTAAATTAATTTAAATTTAAAATGATTAAAATTCCAATGATCTAAAAAACTAATTTAAAATAAATTAAAATATATTAATTTGGTTCTCAATTTTAATAATTTGAACTTAGAATTATTCAAATTCAATGATCTAAATTTGAATAATTCAAATGTTAAATTGAAAGATTTGGATTCCAAATAATCTAATTCAAAAAAAAAAAAAATTCAAACTCATAATAATTTAAAGTTTTTATCCACCATAATTCAATTCAAATCTGATTTCATCTATCTATTTGTCCCTTTTAGATAAGATGTATGATATTTAAATTATTTAATTCGAACACTCGAAATTAGATCTAATAATCTAAAATAAAGTATTATAACACGACATAAATATGATATTAAAATAAAATATAAAAATGATATGATTTAAATTATAATATAATTATATAATATTTTAAAAAATAAATTATATTAATAATATTTTTATCATACGAATTATAATATATAATTTTTATAGCATTTTAATACATAAATTTTAATATTTTATACTATATAAATACATAATTCATTATGTCTACTAGAAATGATATACAAATCAAATCGCAAATAGCAAGAGGATTATATGGTCAAAACAAGTTTTTGACTATGGTGTTAGTATTTCAACGAAATTAAATATTTATTCATAAATTTTATGATCAATGTATAAAATAATATTTTTTTATACCGGTAAAAGTACTAAACAGCTAGAGAGGAACAAGGCAAAGCTTGACCCAAGATAATACGGATCAAACTTGAAAGGCTCCAATAGATGGGCCATGTGAAGGGTTTGAATCCAAACATTGAAATTAAAAAAAGAAAAAAAAAAGATGAAACATGGAATAATTTCATGAGCTTAAAAGTTTGAGATTTTCCATCATGATTTCGTGAATAATGGCTATGGAAATTTCCATTTAGGTCAAATTTAAGCCCAATTCTTCTAATCTAGAAGCAATGATTTTCAACTATCTAGATTAGTTTTCCAAGAGAAAAATGAAAACAATCGTATCACTTGATAAGGTTAAAGGTCGGAATGTCGTTTTGAAACATGCCAAAAGCCTTGAAAACAAGGTTTATGGTGGCAAAGAAGTTGAAGATAGCTGAAAGAAAAGGACTGATAACAAAAAACTATATTTTTTATCTGTAAAATATTATTTTTGTTAAATTTCGAAAAATATTTTTTTCATATTTTTAATAAAGATATGCAACCATCCTATGAAGTTTTTTAGGTGAAATTTACATAATTTTTTAAAAAAATAAATTTAAAAAATCTAAATTGATATATTGATAAAATTTAATATAAAAATCAATAATATATAAAAATTATTAAAAATATTATTTATAATTCAAATTTCATCGATACTTATTCAATGATAAAAATTTAATTTTATACACTTAATTTATATAATAAAACCTTTCGATCAATTAATTTTTAATTTTAATTTAATTATTTTTAATTAAAAACTTTACCAATTTCAGTTAAAGAATTTCATCTATATCTTTGTCAAAACTGTGGAAATCCTGAACCCAGTGGAAAAAAGAAAGTTGTTGCCCAAGTGCTCTAGTTTGGAAGGAGCAAGCCCATCTTGTTGTTTTGTTTGCTCAAATACAGCAAATGCTTGACATTCTTGAAAGCTTCTTAATTATTAGTGATTAAGACTATGAAAAGATGAATTTAATAACTCTAATGAAATATTTATTAAGAAATTGAGATCAAAGATATTAATAAAATCATGAAAAAGGTGCATTGATTAAAAGCAAATGGACGGAGCATACCATGTAGGAATTCCAATGTGACATTTTTTGGAATGAAATTTTTAATATTTGATAATTATTTTAGATCTTAATTAATTTAAAATTGAATCAAATAGAATTTTATAAAAAATAATTTTTTTTAAATTTATTTTTTTATTTATGAAATTTAAAATCAAAATTTTATTTAAAAAAATTAATTTTTTTATTATTTGAACCAACAGCGTAGATCAATATGACATATATTATAAGCAAATTAAGTCATGTTTTTATAGTGCTTTACATCAATTATTTCATAATAATATAATCACACGGTTGCATGAACGAGGATATTTGATCACTTCTTTTCCTTGCCAACTTTCCAACAAAAAAACGAACACGTCATAGAGCTAGCCACCTCAACCTAACAAATAAGCTTTATCTTCAACAGGGGTCACATGATTTTCCTTTCCCACGAGGCAACAGCGCTGCAGGGCCCACCTTCTATTGCTTTCCTTGTTGACAGTTTCCTCACTTATCATGCATCTGATCACATCCTTAGCTGTCCAGTCCACGTATGATCGTCAAACCAGATAATGTTTGTTTCCAGGTAATAAGCTGACAAATGTACAGTTACAATATTAAATTTTCGGTACATATACCTACCTATCTTCAGCAAGAACCATTTTATTTTAAATTTAATAATTTAAAATATAATAAAATATATAATTTAAAAATAATATAATTTAAAACTTTATTAAAAATTATATATAAATTTAATAAAATTAAATTTTATATTTTATATTTTTATATCTATATAAATTATATTACATAATATAAAATATGATATAAATATAAAAATTATTAATATTTTATATAACATAAATACACAAATCATCAAATTTATTTCATTCAATATTATTAATGCAATTCAGGTTTAACTGCAAAATCTTCATATGTTTGTAAATAAATGTAAAACATAAAAATTTTTTGAAATATTTGATTAAATGATTGGTGCATATTCTCATATTCAAAAAATATTATTTAAATTTTATTCTTCTTCAAATGAAAATAAGGGTTAATAATCATTTGATCTGTTAATAAATGTTAAATTTTTAATTCAAACCAACAAGTGATTGATTTAATCAATTAATATCTTTTTCTCCGACGAAAAAATTTTAAGTTCGAATTTTATTAATGATCATTTGTTGGAGTCATCTCGAATGCATGATTTGTAGTCACTTATCTTATGTTATCAAGTAAGCACATCTTACTTTGACTTGAGAGACTAAACAATCTATCTTTGAATGTTTTCTTATAAAAAAAATTAATTCAAGTAATAATAATTTAAATTCTAAAAATTTCAAGTGCCAAAAAATTAAAAACTATCATGTTTTATAGTTTATAGATAACAATTTCATTTCTTTTTTCTCCTTCTTCTAGCCTATCATGTGAAGATTCAAATTTAAAAACTAATCTTCTTAACTAACGTTCATAAGTGGCTAACAACCTTTTAATAGTCATTAGCAGATTTTGATAATATATATAACTGACCAATTGATAAGTTTTCTAGATTTTTCTTTCTATATATTAATGAAGAGTTCGAAATATTTAATCCTTCAACAGTAAGTAAATTAAATGCAAGAAATATTCCAAGTATAAGAACATTATAAAGTGTTGAATTTGGGATTTGACCAACTTGTATAATGGTCAGCCTTGATGTCACCGCCTCCTATTTTCTTTGTAAACTTAGCTAATGAGATTTGAGATTCATACAAAGCAAATTTAATCACGTGAAAATGGTAACTACGTGCCAATAATTTTTTTTACAAGTAAATTTAATAATTTTAAATACAATATAATAATATGATATAAAAATAAAAAAATAAAAAAAATATTATTTAAAAATTTTAATTAAAATAATATATAAATTTAATAAAAATTAAAATATATATTTTATATTTAAATAATAACATAGTAATTTTATATCTTACGTATATTTAACATAAAAAACTGCGGCCATTTTTATAAATAAATGAGTTAAATTTCTCAATACACGGCAGACTTTTTCAATATCTTAGTCTATTTAGGCTTCTTCCTTAATCCAATTACGTGTAGTCAACGAATAACTTCCAGGCTTTGGCTACAAGTCAAACATGCCGGTTTCGATATGCCAGGTCTTCCAATCTGGGCAACTCCTCCCTATATAAACTAGCTTCCCCAACCATTGCTTCTTCATATTTGTCCTGGAATTTCATTTTCTTTCCAACTTTACAAAAATCTTGTTATACTTTGTAACTCTCTCGTCAGATTCCTGTTAATTTGTTAAAGAAATCATGGAAGTAGAGATGTCCCTGGCAGATTCTTTAATGAAGGTGTTCATGTTCCTGATTGTTCAAGCACTGGTTTATCTCATCCTTTCTAAGTCATCTGATATTTTCTCCAAGAATAAGATGAGATCATTAAGCCTCAAACCTGCTCGTTCTATAAGCATTCGCAGAATACTGGCTTCCATCTCTGATTTGCCCCAAGGTGCTGAGCCATCTCCATCATCAAAGGGTTCAAAATCACCAGTTCAAAAATATCCTGAAGAATATGAAAGAAACTAAATTTCTCATGTTGTAGTACTTAGAACAAACGTGTTAGCTGTTTGTTGTTTTTGTAAAAATTATTGTTTGAATATTGTATTAGAATGAAAGAAATCTGCAATTCACTGTTTTGATTATAAAGGATTAATGCATCAAATACATTGGTTTTCTACTGCAAATGAATTTTGTAATCATATACACATCAAATACCTTTTCCATGTATTAGGGCTAATTAATAACATAAATGATGCTATATGTACATTTATAAGAACTATCAAATTTTTTCTTGAGGCCTTTAGGCTGCAAGATCTCAGATACCAAGCTTGCAGCTGCAGGAGATTCTTTTTTACAAAGAAGGTCGCACCTTAGGAATAAGGAGAGGAGCTCAGACTTATGCCATCCCTTAAGATAATTGCATGAATCAATCGACTTAAGCTTCGGGTTAACTGCAGGAGCCCTTTGGAAGGACTATGGCACCATCTTTAATCACCCATGGATGCTCAGCAACAATGTCCAAGGTTATTCGAAGCGTAGGGTCTGCGTATCAGAAACAAAGGAGAACCTTTTTTAATTCATAAAACTCTACTAACGAAATCTAAAATGTCCTATTTTTTGGACCTTAATAAGAAAAACATAGAGAAATACACATGACCTTTACATAAAAGGCATTGGAGCAGTTCTTTGAGCCCTCTATCTAGTTCATCTGGGAGTAATAAAGGACAGTTTACAATCTGCAGCCATGACCATGTTAAAGGAAAGGTTGAAATCATAAGAACAGCAAGATAAATAAGCAGGAATATAAGATGTTTACCTTGTTATAAGTCTCAGGTACACTATCAGCAAGAAAAGGATAGCAGCCTACCACCATGTAATACAGGGTTACACCTGCAGCCCATATATCTGCTGCTTTTCCATGATAAACTGTATCTGCTATAAATTGCCAAACATTTCTTATTTCATACCAAATTTTCAACAGTGTCATAAAGATGCTGTCATTGAATCTCGTATGGCAATATATGTTTTTGTCTTTTTACCAGGCACTTCTTTCACTAAGAAGTCCAATCCTTGAAGTTTATCCTCAAAAAAATTTTAGACTGTTCATGGTAAAGTTTCTTAAAAGTAATACTTGTAATGAAAAAACCATATGAATCAAACTAATGTACATACTCAAGCAGCACTCAGGTGGAGTAAAAGCTGGAGTTCCAGGGCATCTCCACAGCTCATCATTGTCATCCTACAAATATCAGCTTGTTTAGATCAATAATGCTGCAAACAGAAATATTTCACAGCAGTAATGCCACTTTTCCCAGCATATTCCAGTTGAACAAAGTCGTTGGTGTGCAAAAATGCCTTTTCTGTTCATAATATAGCTTTCAATTCTGAATTAATCAATTCCACTTGAGAAGGGCCGTACTCTTTGTAGTTTAAAGGGGAGTGCTTAATATGTTTCCATCTCAAAATGAGCATCTAACTTACCTCAAAAGCCTGACTCACACTGAAATCACCAATTTTCACACTTCCCCCTTTTGTGAGCAGAAGATTTTCGGGCTTTATATCACCATGCACGATATTCTGTCACAGTGAGCAATGGAAGTATAGTTTAGTTGAAGTCATAAAGGTGTGATAGAAGACATTTAAAGTTAAAGAGAACATAATTAATACATTATCTTTGTTTATAACATAACTTTTGACTGAACTTGAACATATATTAGTACCCGAAACTTATAATGACAAGAACCTAAGACAGAAAACCAGGGTGTCATATATGGTGAGAGTGTATCTCTGAGACTCAGACTATCACACACCAAGTGTGTAAAGCTCTAATGACTCTGAAAGGGCTTAGAACATGAGATCATGATGAGTCCATGACACAGACCATTATCTATGGCATAATATCCAATTTATAGTTTCACTAGGTATAATAAGATAAAATTAAATACTGGAACAAATTCTTGACACATGCAAATCACAAACTAGCAACTAAAACGGATTTTTTTTAATAATGGAAGATGTGTTAAAACTATACTGCTTGGTTGATCTAGAAAATACTTACATGACTATGCAAATAAATGAGACCTGCAATTATATCTTTGAAGTATCTCCTTGCAGCTGTCTCATCAATGTGTCCTTGGATTTCAGAAAGGTTTCTTATATGATTACCTTCCACATACTCAAGAACTGCAAAATTACAAACGTGCATATACATATCAAGAATTCCAACTATGCTGCACTATGCAGGATTTTTGGTTCTATGCATTAAACTTATTTGATAAAATCTAGAATGTAAAGCTATGTTGATATATACCCATATAGAGGTAATCAGATCTTTGGTCATCTATTACTTCCACAAGGTTGACTATGTTTGGATGATCCAACATCTTCATTATTGAAACCTAGAAAAGAATTTTGTTTCGTAAGTAGCAAGTTCAAAACGAAGCCATCAAATGGAAATTGCAGAAGAAAACAGTTCATTCCAGGATAATGACAATTTTTGGCTATTCAGGTTCTGGTGAGGAATCATGATTCAAATTCAAAATAGTTCAGTTAGCCAAGATTTACTTCAATCTGATATAGATACTTAGCCCAACGATAAAATCAGAGCTGTGACACTATCCTCCTGCTTTTCCTATTTTTTCTGTGGTAGAAAAGTTCATGCGCACTCATTCTGTAACCAAGTAAGTTTCACTTTTGATAGCATAGAATTGTGTTCCAATCTTGTTTTTGCATGTAAAAAGCATCTTACCTCTCTGAGAACATTGGTCATTGCTGTTTCTGACTGTGTCATCCGCATCTTGCACAATCTAGACTTGCATATTTTCTGCAACAACAATTAACAACAAAGTGAAATCAACATTGAATGGAACTTGCAAGAGAATCACATAAGAAAAAAGGCAGTCTATTTTTAACGTCAACATGTCCAAGTTATCGAAAAACAAATCAAATTTACCACATCAAGCGTTGAAAGGCTGGTAAATAAAACACAAACTCTTTTCTGTCACCTAAAGTGACTGATCCCTAAACCATATTGCAGAGCCATGGCTGTGGAATGTGGCTGCATCAGCAAGACCAGAAGTAATTTGATGCAACCTTAATGTTAACAATAGATTATAATCTAATTAATTGCGTAGCATTACTCATACAACTTGTGTCAGATATCTATAAGGAAAAATATTTCATTTAGTTCAATACTGCAGATCTTGGTATCTTATGGAGTAGATAAAAATGGCAGCTACCTTAATAGCATAGGGGGTTCCATCATTTTTGTTTCGATATAATGCCTGCACCAAGTTAATTAGCAAAGTGATTATCAGTTTATCGCTGCCGATGTAAAAAGCATCTAACCATGTCAAAAAGCATTAATCCATACCACTTTTCCATAACTTCCCCGATTAATCTTTTGCTCTTTTACAAAGTCATTGATCATCTTCTTTCCATTCACATGCTACATTTCAAAATACAGAAGATGGTGAGAACTCAAATCTAATTCTGCTACAATTGGCTAAACTACAAAGTTCTAAAAGGTAAAAGAGTGTCCAAAAATGAAGTAACAATTAAAAATTAGGCGTCTGATCTTTTATGTAACTATGAATAAAAATAACGTAAACCTGCATCACTGCTAACTTATCAGAACTATTTACAATGGAAAAGAAACAAGATCTTTAAAAAGAATTACCTTGGAAATTTTGATGGAAGTAGTTTCCTTTACTGGAATCTTCTTACAAGGTTGTTTCGTCCTTGGCATGCATGGAATTGGTTTCCTTTTGTCTGAACCAGCAAACAAACTTCTAGACAACACCTGTTCATTGGAAATATCATCTGCAGTATGTTCCACACCATTGTCCAAATCTTCTAGAGAGAAACCACTGGATGTACTGGGACGAGAGATCTGCAATATTGGCTTCTTCGGATTCTGGCAAACCATAAGTGAGTTGCAGTTGTCCATGTTCATATTATTCATTGTACTTGACAGGGTAATAACCAGTTAGATCCAGGTAGCAGAAACTCCTCTACTGATCAGCTTAGAAATGGAAATCAATTCAGTGAGTTTCAACTCATGTATCAGAGAAACAATGACGTCACATGTTCCAACTCTTAATGACATGAGAAACAGCAATCTAAAGAAATGACTGAAAGCAACCACAGCCTTCAATATGCTGCATTGAAATGGAAAAAAATTGGAGGGATGGAATGACGGTGAGGACTTGAAAGTTGAAAATCTGAAGTGATGAACTATGGAGCTTTATATGGTACTTTTCTCTGAGTAAACAAAGTTGAAACTAAATCAGAAGTTGGTAGCAATATATACTAACAAAATCAGTTAGACATTGTCAAGCTTCCATAATTAGGAACAACAAATTTAGGGACTAAAAGGCTCATAAAAATAAAGCTTAAATTTGGATAAATTTCCTTCATGGTCTCTAACATCTAATTTTGATTCAACTTTAACCCTTATTCTTTGAATTGTTCTATTTGAGCCCTAACTTTTAAAATAATTTCTTTACGCAAATAATTTTGTTAACAATAACCTATGGTTCACGGTAATGGCACATTTAGAGGTGTAAAATGGGTCGAATAATCCATGATATGATACGATTCAGCATGGTATGAGTTAAGTTTGGCATGATCTATTATTCAACACATATTTGTGTGCTATGCTAGGGTTAAAATATTTAAGTATATTGATGGTATAGTGCTATTCGATAAGAGCCGACGTAAATATGTGACACGTGAATTAATACGATATGATATACAAGTTATTTTTTTTTTTTATCTTGTGATGAAATTATATATGCTTTTAACAATTTGTTGATAATTTATAAAAATAATTTATATTAAATAAATGTACTTATGAAATATTTAAATTATTGGTAGTTAAATTTATAATCATTTCATTTTAAATACAAAATATATGATATGTCACATTTTATATATAAAAAAATTTATGAAAACTACATTATTGGTAAAAATTCGGCAAAAAATAATCTACTAAGGTAAAAAAAAATGGCTACTTGATCTAGTTGCAGTAAAAATAGTTTAGGTATCTTGGATAAAAGTTTTAATTATTCTTATATATTTGTAAATTTAAATAATATGAAGAGGATTGAAATTTATAAGATAACAAGTTGATTTTTATATTCAAAGTTCAATGAATTTTCTTATATACAAAAATTTGCCTTAAACTCAAGTAATAATAAAAAAAATTTAAAAATTATTAATATATCATGTTTGATCTAATTCAGCACGAAAAATAATATTGTACCAGATATTGTATAGCTCATAAGGACCATAAACTATGTACTATATGAGCCAAGCTTTTAGTCTCCACTAATTGCGCGGACATAATATATTAAATAATAGGTCTATAAATCAATAAGTAATCGTTTAATCTGTTAAAATTTATTTTTTTTTATGAAAAAATTTTAGATTCGAGTTCTATCGATAATCATTTATTGAGATTATCTTAAATACATAATCTATAATTATTTGTCTTAAACTCTCATATATAATATATTTTATTCTGACTTATAGATTAAATAGTTTATCTATTTTTGAATTTTTCTTAAAAAAAAAAAATAGGTCCATTAATACTTGAATAATTATATGGATTTGTTGCAAGGACACCTCTAGGCATGCCACGTGGAAATTTCCTTTCAGATGACACATAAATATCTTTTTCATTTGTGTGATAAAAGGGTCAAAATGCAAATGTTAAAAGATTAACGATCAAATGTAACAATTTAGAAATTAAGGGCCGAAGTAAAATAAGAATAAAAGATTAAGGACCATGTGAAAAATTTACCCCTTAGGTTTTTCTAACAGTAAATCTCCAAACCATATTTTCAACATAGTCCTTGAGTTTTGACTGGTAGTTAAACATCTAAACTTATTTCAGTCATAACTAATAATTTCTAGTGAGAAAAAATTACTCCAATATATACCAATTTAAGCTCTATTTGAATTGGTGATGAAATTCGTTAGGAAGAGATTTAAAATAATAATAAATTATAATTATGATTAAAAATTTTAATAAAAATTTTATATTAGTTTAATTTCGTTTAAATTAATATTTAAATTTAATTGATAATATAATAAATTTAATTATATCGTATTAAAAAATCAATAAAATTCAAACGAGGACATGGTATTTGCAAATCTGGAACTGATTACTTTTAGTATAATCGTTTCTTTGAAGAAATCTTTTTCCCGTTTCTTTATTGTTTCCTATGGGTTTAAGAATAGATGACTGTCAGTTTCATCTTCACAAAGAAACAGAAGTCTAGAGCCCGTAAAACACGAGTTTAGATGTAATAATTAAAATTTTTATTTATTATATAAAGAAGACTGCAATTTGAAAATTATAAAAAATACATGTTATGAAAATTTAAATATTAAATTTATTAAATATTATCTTTTAAAATAATTATATCTAAAATCGAACTAAACTCCCACTTATTTAATTTATGTTACAATGAGATTAAAAAAAAAATTCCATCTTTATCTTTTTCTCCTACCATTTAAAGCAAATATTTTTTATACTTCTTTATTTTTTTTTCATAGAAAAACAAAATAAAAAAAATGACAGGATTAGAACTCACAATCATACGTTTTCGTTAAAGTCTCTTAATTACTAAATCAAAAAGTAAAAAGCCATATTTATAGTAGAGAAGGTAAAAATACTTGAAACCAACAAATTTCGATTCGATTCGATTTATTATGATCGATTTTTTTATTTAAATCAGATATGGAATCGGATAGGATTGGGTGGCATAAAAAAGTTTTGGATTCGAATCGGGATCGGATTTTACGTAAACCCGATTCTACCCGATCCGATATATATAAAAAAATTATTTTTTTAATTATTTATTTAATTTTATATTTAATTTTATACTTATATTAAAAATAATATTTTATTAATTTCGAGTCAGATTTAATTTTATATTATATCAAATCGAGTCGAATTCGAATAGTAAAAAAATAAAAAATTATCAGATCAGATTGGATACGAATTTTATATATTTAAAGTTAAATCAGATTCGAGATGAATTCGAGACGAGCAAAAATTTGTTCCGCCCCAATTCGATGTCATCACTAATTTCTAGTGCTCGAAAAAGAAAGAAAATGACCCATGAGAAGGAAGAAAGCCCTACCATCGTAGATAAGTTGCAACACTCCAAATTTTCTCTTTGGTTTATGCGGAATAAAAGAAAAAGTAAAACAACATGATGAAGCATTTTTTATTGTTTCAATTTTCAGTTTTCCATTTTCCTTGTTATGGAAAAGCTCAACATTTTGCATTAATCTATGAGAATACTTTTCTTTTTAATTTTGAATAAGAAAAGCTATCTTCTTGATATGATTTGCCTGCATAAGACAGAAATAATTCCTTTAAGTTCCTTTGAGAAAAAAATTGTATTAAATTATTATTTCATGTTAACATATGTTCGTTATATTTAAATCAGATATGTAATTATATAATTTAAAAAATTAATTAATTATTATATATTATATGAAATAATTAAATGATAAATATTTTATTTTGATAAATTTATATATATATGATGTGTAAAAAAAATTTAATTTTTTAATAATTTAATTATGTAATATGATTTAAATGAAACAGATTTTCATTAATATTGATAAAGATGATATTAGCATTTAATGTATCGTTTTCTCTTGAATTGAATTTAATAATTATAGTAAATTAATTGAATTTGAAGATAATGCTATCTACACTTTATCTTATACATTCATTTAACACGTATGAGACCTTTTAATTATGAGTAATTAGTTATTATCTCTTTTCTCACAGTGGGCAAGAATAGTGATGCAAATGAGTCAGGT